ATACCAAAACTTTTCGTCTCAGCAATTTCGTTAGCTCGTCAAATCCACTGTAGATTTTGCAAGCTTTTGAAGCCTTGTCTTCTAAAAATTCACTAGGAAAACATAAAGAATCCCTGTCAAGAGTCCCATCATTTAGGTAGGTGCCTTCTGCTCCAGCCGTGAGACTCTAGCTATCCTTGTTCGTATTTTTGCTCAGACATCAGCCCTTGTCTTGAAACTTATGAAATCCCCTCTTGTCCGTCATTTTTTTAGAAACCAGCCAACCCTTTCTCTGTCCTCCCTCCCTTCCTAAATATGAAACTGCAAAGTAAAGTACGCTTCTAATCAAATGCTATTGAAACGTTTTTGCGTGGTGTGCGAGAGAAAAGAACGAAAACTACCGTAATCCTCTCGGCAGTGACGGGAAATAAGTAAGACTGGTGAGTAGGACTTTCGTCGCTGTCGAAGTTGCCGGCAGTCAGCACGACAACGTCGACGACGACAGATTGCAATTGCTTCACCTGGAATTGCGCATAATAACCGGATTACGGTAGTCGTCATACAGTGGTGTGCTCACGGACGACCACGGTGACGTAAAAGTGCGACATGCGTACATATGCTAATCAAGTAGGGCGAGCTACTGAAGGCAGTGCGAAAGGTTCTCTACTTAATTTGTTGCCTAATGAGAGCTAAGATTGTTCAGCAGAAAGAGGCCTGAAAGGGAAGACCTTTATACCAAATTTGGCGTTTCACGGGTATTTAGATTTTCTGGATTTTATTTTGAGTCCAGCTAAGGTGCTTCTGTGCTTTAGCTCAGCCATGTTACTCAGTTGAGATAAACTGGCAATCATTCGGTGCCACTTTCAAACCACTCGATTCCAACCCATCAATAATCCGAAAGTTCTATGAACCCAGCCTTCCATTTCATCAATTTCGCCAAGGTGATCAGCGCTGACCTAACAATTCATTTCGAGTCATCTTCTAGGATATCTCCCAAATCGCTGATTACATTTAAGTTCAGCGAATTAAACATTGGATGGAGGTAGTGCAGTAGGACACCGCACACCATGGGGGTGGTCTAGTGGTCAATCCCGATCACGCCCTGGCCTTCCGAGTTCCTTTCTTATCTCCTAAGTCTGTTCATTGGTACCAGGCTCGCCTGAAAGCCTCGATTTCATGTTGGCTAACCCTAAAAAGTCATTGGTGTTCAAGCCACATGCCACTACGGTTTTTAAGGAAAGCGCAGTACTTGAAACATCCCAAATAAGGATCAATCAATGCCAGAGCTCTGTAATTCTTCGTGTACGAAGCTCTAGAAAACGACCACAGTTAGACAAATAGTCGGGAAGATTAAGATTGAGAATGTGAAGAAAGTAGGTCGAAGAAAGTCGACGGGGTTTGAAAGCGAGCAGACAGACTGTGGAGACGGGCATAATCCGCTAAACCACTTGGTAACCACCTGCTGAACTGGTTTCCATTTCACTGAGCATAGAGCTGATCAGCTGTCATTTCCGCTTTAAAGTAGAAGATATTCGTAGTCTGATAACTCCTTGTCGCCTTCTCCGAAGCCATCATCGATTAGGTCATCTCTGTTATGACTTCGCTTTTTTTTCTGTTGCGCCATGCATCTCTTGGTTTCTCAGTGTCATCACATACACGGCGCAACCAGACATACGTTAAGATCAGATGCTGAAATGCAGGGCTGAAATGGCCCACAACGAGCCTGATGATCTTATTGAGAGGCCAAGAGCTTCACAGTCTCGACAGCCTGGTTGCACGTCCGTCTGTCCTCATATTGAAGCTGTCTCAAGAGTGTGACAGATTCTCAAGAAGTCACGTCATTGACTAAATGACCTCACGCGCACACAGTGACTCTATCTCGGGCTGCTTGTCCACTTACAGTAATCCGAAATAGCCATTAGGACCAGCTTTACGCGCCCTTTAATCCGCTGCTTATCCACTTGTCTGCGCCCATCTGCGCGCACGATTGTTGCACGTCGTGAATCACACTGGCTGAGATTTCGATTTTCAATTACCGAAAAATGAACAAGGAGATGGGGATGCCGTGGAGATTTTTCAAAATTTGTCGATTTCAGAAGGAGCTTTCAAGAAGATCAAAGCCGAAAGTGTAACGTCAAGCGGTGTTTTCTCATCATCGCTGTCAGGAATCCCTTCGACACCAGCACGGTAATTACTTCTTATTATAGTAAATGGCATT